CCTGCAACGGCGCAAACCGAAATTTGCTGCTTCAATCTTTTCTTCATTACTCCCAACATAAGAAATATCGACGCCAAACAAGCCCTCCTCCTTCCCTGACGATCTCTACGATGCTTCCCTCCTCATTTCCTTAATTCCTATTCTCATTTCTATCTCCTCCAACTTTCAAACTCTTCTCCTTTTCTTCGTCCTCTTCCTCAGATCCTCTCCTTTGTCCCTCCAGAGATCTCTGATTCTGTCTACTTCACGCTTGCTTTCTGGTAAATTTCTAACATTTCGATCTCTTTCTTTTCTTTTTTTTAAACTAATTTCGTTTCGTTCTTTGATAGCTTTAGTTCAATGGCTGCTGATTCGAAGGTTTTTGTTATTTGTGTCTACTCTTAATGCTATTCTGTTCGGTTTCCGAGAAAATGGATGGAGGAATCTTAGTTCTCTACTGTGTCTTCTTAATTGAAAATGTGTATACTCAGTTCGATTGTACATCTATTAAGTTTATTTAATCGAAGCTGATAGTTACTGTGTAGGTAAGTTAATTCTGAGAAAATTTGTTCCTTTTTTTTTTTTTAATTTATTTTTAATCTCACAGTTTGAAGGTTGGAGATCAAGTTGTGGATTCTGGAAGAGAGAGGTTGGAGAAATTAGCTTTAGGAGTTTGAGAATGGCTTCGATACCGCATTCTCAAGTTGGATTTTTTAGAAGTTCAGCATCGGATCTTTTTGGGAGCTCAAGTGATGGAGTGAGTGGCATCCCTCTGAAAACCCTAGGTAGGGCAAGATTTTCGCAGGAGAGGAGAGGATTCACTGTAACTGCAAAGCTTAGGAAGGTTAAGAAACATGATTATCCTTGGCCAAGGGATCCGGATCTGAATGTCAAGGGTGGACCTCTAATTCATCTCTCACCTTTCAAACCATTAAAAGAGAAACCAAAGCCAGTCACTTTGGATTTTGAGAAGCCACTTGTTGAGATAGAGAAGAAGATTCTTGATGTAACTTTCTCTTCTATTTATGTTAACTTCTGATTATTTTCAAAATTCCTCATCATTGAGGGTACTTGTTTTGAGTACAGGTGCGAAAAATGGCAGAGAAAACTGGTTTGGATTTCACTAATCAGATTATCTCATTGGAGAAGAAATATCAAGAGGTTTGATCAGTTCTTCCATTCAGCATTTCTTGCTTGGTGTTGTCTCTGTGCTTAAAATTAATGTTTAGGAATTGCTTGTCAGCTGTCATATACTTTTCATTGAGCAGGGCCATCGAAATTTGGATGGCATATTGACATGCTACATGTTGATGCTTACAACAAGTATCTGAACATGTTACATTTACACGCTCGTGCCAGATGATGTATTTCTTGTTGCTTACTTCACTTATTTGTATAATGAATAGTGATGAGCATTTTAATTCAATCTCTGAAGTAAATATGATGCTAAACCTGTCCACAGGAGCTGAAGGAAACAAGAATTTACATTAAGCTCTGGTTATTAGTCATGTCCAATATTTCTGCATGAGCAGTGTGTTAATATTCAAATCTCAATTCAGTTTAAGATGATGATGTCTATTAAAGGTTTTGGAATATCATTATTAAGATAGTTTCTGGGTCTAATTCTTCTGACCAACTCACATTATTGATTTCAGGCTCGAAAGGACCTATACACACATTTGGCCCCTATACAACGTCTGAGTGTTGCCCGGCATCCTAACAGGCCTACCTTCCTTGATCATGTATTTAGCATTACTGAAAAGGTCTAACACCTATAAGCTAGCTGAGTGTCAGATATTTACATGTTGCATATTTTCTTTAAAAATAAATATATAATTGTTTTTTGCAATGTTTTCTCTATATTGATGAATGTCCAGTTTGTGGAACTTCATGGGGATCGGGCTGGTTATGATGATCCAGCAATTGTTACTGGTATAGGAACCATTGATGGTAGAAGTTACATGTTCATGGGTCACCAGAAGGGTAGAAACACAAAAGAGAATATTCAACGCAACTTTGGGATGCCTACTCCTCATGGGTATGGTTAATTGAATTTGAAACAAAGTGTTTCATGGTGACCTTGAAATTTTTTGTTATAATTGTGAGTGAAGAGGGGTTTAAATCACCTGACTTTTGACTGATGCATTTCTGTTTCCTTAAAACAGCTATAGGAAGGCTATGCGCATGATGTATTATGCTGATCACCATGGGTTCCCTATAGTTACTTTCATTGACACTCCTGGTGCATTTGCAGACCTTAGATGTGAGGAGCTAGGCCAAGTATGTATGCGATTGTCATTAAAGTTTATATGATTCTCTTTTAATGCTGGCTCAACTGATTTAGATCCCTCTACATTCATGCAGGGAGAAGCTATTGCCAACAATTTGAGGACCATGTTTGGTCTTAAGGTACCAGTTATTTCTATTGTTATTGGTGAAGGTGGTTCTGGTGGTGCACTGGCCATTGGCTGTGCTAACAAGTTGTTGATGCTGGAAAATGCAGTTTTTTTTGTTGCCAGGTGAGTTGACTTCTTGATATTGTTTTAATTGAATATTAAATTAACTTTATGCTATATGGAATTATGTACCCTCAATAATGGGATTTTTCCATTTTAAGTTCCTTTTTGTCCTAGTGATATCTATAGCATTCTTTATTTTTCTTATGTTGTTATTAATGAATCACTTTTATACCCATGTCTATATGTGCTGATTTGATCTCCCTTTTTTTATTGTTATTACTATGTTATAGTCCAGAAGCATGTGCAGCAATCTTGTATAAGAGTGCTAAAGAGGCGCCTAAGGTTAAAAAATGATGATCACTCTTGCTTTTGTGTTTCAATAGGCATTTATTTGGAAATAGACCATTAAAATTTTCCATTTTCACAGGCAGCTAAATTGCTGAAGATTACTGCTCCAGAGTTGTGCAAGCTGAGAATTGCAGATGGAATCATCCCTGTAATTAATTTCATCTCTTCGATATCTTTATGCATTAGTTTGCTTGTCTTCGTCTTTTCCTTTTCTTCCCACTTTCTTCTCCAGTTTAATTTTTGCTGTTTGATTCCATTTCTTCTTAGACATTTTCTTTTACTTTTGATAGGAGCCACTGGGTGGAGCCCATCAAGATCCAGCTTGGACTTCTCAACAGATAAAATTTGCAATTAATAAAACAATGGATGTGAGTTCCACTTACTGTAGTTCTTCATTACTACATATATGGAGTAATATATTCACAAAAGACATTTCATCCTGCAGGAGCTGACAAAGATGGATACAGAGATGCTTCTAAAGCATCGCATGCGTAAATTCAGAAAAATAGGTAAAGTCAAGGAAGGAGTCCCAATAGATCCAATAAAGAAAGTCAACATGAAGAAGAAAGAACTCATTGATCTTCGACCAATAAACCTGGAATTGGAGGCTGAGATTGAAAAACTAAAGAAACAGATTTTGAAAGCCAAGGAGTCTTCTACGACGCCTTCGGAGGTTGCTTTGACACAGATGATAGAAAAACTGGAAAAGGAGGTTGATCATGAATATGCTGAGGCAGCCAAAACCATGGGCTTGAATGACAAGCTTAAGAAGCTGAGAGAAGAATTTTCAATTGCTTCAGAAGACGAACCCACAGATCCTGTTCTAATTGATAAGATTGAGAAACTTAAGAATGAATTCAACCAGGGCCTGTCTGCTGCACCTAACTATGGAAGGCTGAAATACAAGCTTGACTTGTTGAAGGAGTTTTCTAAGACCAAGAGTCTCTCAAATGCTGCTCCACTGAAGCAGGAAGTTAATAAGAAATTCCAAGAAGTAATGGATAGGCCTGATATAAAGGAGAAGATAGAGGTATTAAAGGCCTTGGTTCAAAATTCTGGTGCATCCAGCTTTGGGGATTTAGATCAAGAGCTGAAAGATAGAGTTGTGGAGATGAAGCAAGGAATAGAAATGGAAATGATTAATGCTCTCAAGTCCATTGGTTTGGATGCTGAGGTTGTAAAGTCTAATACTAAAGCTTTCAGTGAGAAAACTCCACTCTCCCTGGTCAGGTCTAAGGTGGACAACTTGAATGGAGAGATTAACAAGAAAATTGAAGATATTGTCAATTCATCAGATTTGAAAAATATGATTGAATCACTGAAGTTGGAGCTGGCAAAGGCTGCAAAAACTCCTAATCCAGAGTCAAAAAGTAAGATTGAGTCTCTAGAACAACAAATTAAGCAAAAACTTTCAAAGGCTTTAAGTTCCCCAGAATTAAAAAGGAAGCATGAAAGTCTGAAGGCAGAAATTTCTGAAGTGGTAGAATCTCCCGCTGGATCACCTGAAAATTTGAAGCAAGACAGATTGAAGCACCAGGAATCCAGAGTAGAGATTAATGTTGGTACAAACAGCAGCTTTGCTTAGTGTAAGTTACACCCATAAACATTAATTACTTGAACTTTTTTTCTAGAAAATTTTCTGAAGGATAATATGGATCTGTGAGTTACTTATATTTGTAATGGCTAAGTACATTCTACTTTGCTTAGAACAAGGACCTATGGTTATTTACCTATGCAAGTGAGTTCTTTTCGTTGGTCCTTTTACGAGTATAAAAGAACCAAAGTTTCTTTGTGAAATTTGCCTTACTTAATGGCAGTATTCCTGTTCATATTTCTATGATGAAAAGCGTTTTATGATTTCCAGTTGTTCAAGTGTTAAATAGACACTGCCTTTGTAACTATGATTTTACACTCACATTTCGTTCATATTCTGCAGTTCTTCTAGCCCTGTCATTAATTAGCAGCGAAGATGATGGTGTTGATCAAAGAATTAGAACTGAATAAAGGTCTTGCAATGGGTGGTAGTTAACCTCGAACCTCTGCACTGCCACCAAATTCTCCATTGTCATCTTAGTGCCAGACGAACAAGATTTTGCATCTATTTAGACATTAATTGCCAGAATCATTCCTCGGTCCCCTTTTCTCAAGCTGGAAGTTACAATTTCGAATTAGATACTAAAATTATCAGTTCCCATGTTGCCTTCTTTCCTTTAATTTATTGCAAAATGTGTTTACGGAAAATTTCCCTTTTTTATGTTAAACAGAGAATAGTTTATAGTTTATAGATTGTGCGAATGACAGCTTTCAGAGTTCCCAGTTATCAGGAATGACATACTTCTTTTTCCTTTTTTTTTTTTCCCTTCAGTTTTCTTTTTTCTGTCCCTTATCAATTTTTAATTTTTAATTTTAAATTTTATAAGAATTTCAGATTCAACGGATCTCATAACACTGCTCAATAAGGTGCTGCTACCTCCTTTTGCACTGCATTCTAATATATATATATATGTGTGTATTGTATAATTTAAATTATATTATGTAAAATAAGTGTATATTAATTTTAATTTTTAAAAAAATAAAATCTCACTTTATATTTAAAATTTTAAATTTAAAGTTAAAATTTAAAATTTTAATTAATTTTTAAATTTAAATATCAATCTAAGATAAATTTTTAAAATTTAAATTAAATTTAATAAAATAATTTAAAATTAATATTTTATTTTATTAAAAATTAAGAATAATAAATATTTTTTTATATTATATTATATAATATTTATCATCGAATGAAGAATATATAATTGACATTTAAAAGTTATCCTTCTTCCAATAACTCTTATTTTACAAATGACGTTGCAAAATATAGCCAACTTGAACAAAGTCACGAGGAAAACCAAGACCAATAGTTTTCAGCACATCCGCTAGCATAACCGAGACACGAGATCAAGGATGGAGATGGAGAAAGCTTCAATAAAGAAATGGAATCACAGCTTTCCTCCCCTTTGGATAATCCTCCTTGAACTTATCCAAATACCATTGATGGCTACCCCGGGCACGGGGGATCAGGTTGGAACACGTGTATACAAAGAACGCCAGAGCCGCCCAGGACCAAGTCATCACGGTGAAGCCCAACCACTCCACGATTTCCCCAAAATAGTTAGCGCAGCTCACCAGCTCGAACAACCCTCCTCTTGGCACCCCATACCCACCCCCACCCCCTTGCTTCTTCAACCCCACCAAAACCCTATCCGCCCACATATTCGCCCACATACCTAACCCGAAAATCACCAAACCGCCACCGAATTTCCACCAAAACCACTCATCACTCTCGTAATCATCCTTGTAGTGAGACACCCATCTGGCTTGGACATAAGCATTTAAGAGATTGAACCCAAAACCCATCGAAGCTACACTCACTGGAAAGCCAGTACCTTTGTCGGTGCTCCAAGCGAGGCGGAGAGGATAGATGATGGTGCGGTGGACGTAGTGGAAGAGGTAAGGGGAGATCAAAAGGAGGGCTTTTGGGTTGGTGTAGTGTCGACCAAAAGGGAATAACAAGAGGGTGAGCCACACGGTTGGGCTTTCCATGAGGAGCCATGCCAGACCTGGTGGAATGGTAGGACCCCACCCAGGACGGGCGTGCTTGCCGTATGCGGCTTGTGTGGACTGACAGCCGACCCAGGTTGGTGGCGCGATGAGGTAGAAAGTGACGAGGCAGGTGTAGTAGAAGATTTGATCTGGGTTTGAGGCCATCTTCTGGGTTTGAGAATCAAGTAACGATCCGAGGTAGTATATAAAAAACAGATAAATCTGGTGGGGATTTCAAGCTTGTGCTGGTCAATTCCAAGGCTTAAGACATGCGGGTAAAACTGTGTGATTATCAATCAGATGACGTTGGAAGCTAGCCACGAATGTCAAAAGGTTTAAGAAGATTCCATAGCGTCATGGACCCGCTGATGTTATTGCCTCTAGAACGGCTCCAGGCTTACCACAACTAGGCCCAGCCGGCCGGTCAATCCGAATTCCGAATTCGTGGAAAAATCTAAAATTTTTTAATAATAAATCAAATAATAAAAAAATAATCTTCAAATTTTATTTTTTTTTACATGAAATTCGAAGTTGATACTTCTTAGTTAGAAATTTATAGTTTTTACAATCAAAAAACAGGGCGGACCTTGCCCACTTATCAAGACAGGGTCACTCCAACTGAAGTGGAATACATAACTTTTCGGCAGAAGGTGCAGATCACCCCCTCAACTCAACAATTGGTGGCAAATCACCCCCTCAACCCACTTCACGCGCAAATCACCCCATCAACTCACCTGCAGTGGCAAATCACCCCCTCTGTTAACACCGGCACCATCCTTCCGTTAGCTTTCATCCGAACCCATGATTTCTTCTCCCAGTCCATTCAGTAAATATAACAAGCACTAAGTAAACATTGTTTCTTCACCCCCATCAAGATCACCCTTCACCCCCATCAACAGATCACCCTTCACCTCCACCAAGTAATAGCATTGGCATCCCTCTTTGACTGGTTCTACACTCAGTTTCACTGCTTTTTGAAAGTTGTTGACGGTAGGTTGAATAACCCAGATGTAATCGTAAAAATCAATGGCGTAGAAGTCACCCTTGTAGAATATTGCATCGGAACACCATCCCACGAAGTTGTTTATTCTGATCCATGCATGATCCCCTGTTCTGCAAAAGGAAAAACTGTGTCCGTGTTTACCGAGATGGATGGCCAGGACTTTGCAGAGAGGATCCGTCGGAATGGTGGAGGTGATCACCCTCATAAACTCTGACTTCTTGGAACTCATCCAGTAGATTTCCGGCCTCCTGAATCGTTTCTCAGGAGGAAGCTTAACGGTGGCGCTGGTGATGGGATTTAAAAGATGAATGGCTTGATTGGCAACGGTGAGAAGCTAGCCATGAGAGGATGCAGTATACCATCCTCCCTGGAGTTGTGGTAGAAAAATCCTGTGGATTTTGTGGGAGCAATAGTCGTAGATCCGACAACATCGCCGACCTGTTTGATTCTCCGGCGGAAGCAATACTAATAGAGCGTTGGATTTGAGTCCGGGATAGCGTAAATAGAGTAATTGAGAGGCATATTGCCAGGAGACACAGACCACGTGGAGAGCCAGCTTGAAGATGACTTCTGGGTCGGTGGTACTCGACGACATCAACGGAGGAAGGGCTTATGAGCGAACTGTTAAAAGATAATGGAAGGATGGTGCCGATGTTAATAAAGGGGGTGATTTGCCACCGTAGGTGAGTTGAGGGGGTGATTTGCGCGTGAAGTGGGTTGAGGGGGTGATTTGCCACCAGTGATTGAGTTGAGGGGGTGATCTGCACCTTTTGCCTAACTTTTCCGTGTATTGTCATGGCAGCTGAAGGAGAATGCCATGAACCCAAAAGTCCAAACCAACAGCATACATGTGAACCCATTTGTACTGATTTGAGATTGGAAGGTACCCTCGTGGTGCACCACATTGTCCATATCCGTATGGACAAAACGACTGTGACACACCTAGGAAGATCTAATCACAGAGGAAGAGCCAGTGACAATTCCAGAAAGAAAAAGCACTCTTATCTGTTGCGGATAATTACCAATCAAAATCAGTCCATTACAACTGATTAGTCCCGTACGAGGATGCCCAAAGTGTCTCAAACAGAAGTCAAGCGCTTTTTCATTAAACGTGTGATTTATATGGATATTTTCATTCAGTAAAATACATGAAAATTAATATATATATTCACCTGTTTAATTTAGATTTTGTTCTGATTTAATATGATCGTTTGCATTATCTCTGATTAGGACGCTCTAAAGTTTTACATAATTATTATACAACTTTTTTCCCATCAAGATGGTAATAGTAGATAGCCGGTGCCGAAAGAAGAAGAAATAGTTGGAAAGCACTCCATAATACAAGTCTCCCAATGAATTTGCTTTGGCTTTTTCATTTCCTTTTTCTCTATCCCTTGATGCCTGACTGGCTAGAGTATCTGTGCCCCCTCGTGGCTGTACTTTTGGGATCCTTGGCTCTCACTTCACTGAGTTCACTCATCCATCGTTTTTCTATGAAAAATTTTGCTATACCACACACGGTAAATCAATAAAGTTTTACACATAAGTAAAATATAAAAAATTTATTATTACATAATCGGAATAACACTAAATTATATAATTAAAATTTTTAAATGACCTTGGGTCTCATCCCGGCATGCTATTGTATAATGTATATAGATATAACAAATATTTTTTTATTATGATGCGACAAATTATATTGGCCGGCTGTATACAAATGTTAGCAAGGTACGTAGCAGGCTTGTGATGCTCTCGCCCACTCTGATGTTGATCATCTCTATAGCTTGTAGCTTTCATCTCAGCTTTCACTTTGCTTTTTACTAATTTCTCTGACATTCACATTCTTTCTCGCCATCACGTGGTGCACTTGGCTTTGGCTTCTTTCTTCCTTCCTACAGCTACTCCTACTACTGAAACTGCTTTGGTTATGTCATACATGATGTTTACATTTATACGATTTTCTTGTTCATGGATTTAACCATGCAAAGAACATGAAAGAATTTTTCATTTTTTAAAGGGAAAAGGGGAGAAGGCATGTGAATTGGGGGTACCATTTCCATTTTCATTTCACTTACAATTATTTTATTTTTAATTTATATATATTTAAAAATTATTATAATATGTCTTATAAAATTATTTAAATAATTTTTTTAAAAATAATATAAAAATAAATATAAAAATATTTAAAGAATTTTATAAATCAAACTGTATACATTGTACAGTCTTCATGTAAAATAATTTTCTCAATTTAGTGTGAAATCTAAAGTTGAAATAATTGGGTTGTAATTCGTGTTGAGTACTGTTGAGGTGGGAGGGATTTTTTGTGTTTTGAGATTTGCTTAAATTGACTTACGATATAATGGTTTATAAAAAAAATTAATAAATATTAATTATATAATTGATGGTGTGGTATGGTATTAAAACATAAACAAACCCAAGATGATGATTATTAATTACCTCCTTTATGCATTAAACTAATCCCTAACTAATTATGTTATAAGTAAGTTATTTATATGAGAATTAAGAAATTTATAAAAAAAATTTGTTTTCTCATTTATTTTATGAAGGAATTGGATAAAAATTAAATAAGGCTATATATATTCGTCCTCAAATTTAAACAAAATTATACTACCTTTACCAAAATTTTCTTTCACTTTTCTTTTATGGGATATTTTTTCACTATAATTGATAATAAACTATACAACAAGATATTTTATTACATTTAATTTCAATTTACAGCTTTACCCATATGTTGTGTATATATATATATATAACCTAAATGTTAAAAAAGAGTGCTACCCCAAGAAAATTTTCATTTGTTAAGAACTTAAGACTTTAAATGTGAATTTAAAATTTTAAGCTCAAGATGAGTGAAATTATAAAAATAATTTGAAAAATAAATTCTATTTTATTACATGATCATAAATATAAAGGATGTAGGTTTAAATTTTTAATCTCAAGATGAATGAAATTTTGAAAGTAATTGAAAAGGCAATAGCTATCTATTACAAAATCGTTGATGTGAAAAATGTAGATTTAAAGTTTCAATTTTAAGATGAATGAAACTATAAAAGTAATTTGAAAAGTGAAAACTATCTGTTGCGTAACCTATATGTGAAAAAAAGAAGGGTCCTCTTTTGTAAAATTGTCAAAAAGGCAGAGGAATCTTTCTGCAACACAGCCTCTCGCCTCGCCTCCTTCCATATGTTGGTTAGATATATCATCTTTCTAGTTTTCATTTTTTAACAAAATTTTGAATCCTTAAAACGAATTTTAATTTTGTTTTATCTATTTTATAAACTTTCCTTTCATCACTTTGCAACAACTTACCTATATAATTCTTATGTATATTTATTAAGGGAAATGTTTTTTGTATAATTTTTTTTTTCATATTTTTATATAATTTGATGTGTCATTAAAATAATTAGTTCTTTTAATTTATGTAGAATCCATGATACTAAATGTATCTATTCATTTAATGACACATGAAACTTGCATAAAAATGTGAAATAAAAAAGTTATTCATATAACACCACCCATTCATTAAATGATAAATGGATACTGTTCCGAGGCATTTCATATTATACTAGTAAAGAAAATAATTAAGAAAAGTTTATTTTATACAAAATTGTATAAAAAATTTCTAATGACATGTGACACTTTTATAAAATATAAAATAAAAAAATTATTCATATAGCATTACCCATTTATTAAATAATAAATGGATACTGTTTCGAGGCATTTCATATTATACTACTAAAGAAAATAATTAAGGAAAAATTATTTTATACAATATTTTTAAAAAATTTCTTAATGACACGTGTAACTTATATAAAAATATAAAACAAAAAAATTATTCATATAGTATCACCTATTTATTAAATAATAAATGGATACTATTCTAAGGCATTTTGTATCATACTAGTAAAGAAAATAATTAAGGAAAAATTATTTTATACAAAATTTTATGAAAAATTTCTTGCCATATCTAAGATTATATTAAATTATATGATAAAAAAATTATTTTTTTACTTTAATTATACAATAAGATATATTTTTTTAACTCATTATATTTATATATTGTATGATTTAAATTTATAATTTTTTAATTTTTAATAAAAAAATTATTAATAAATTACTTAAATAATTAACAATAATAAATTTATTTATATTTAATTTTATATGTTACTGGAGTATTTAATTTAATAATTTTCTCTTATAAATGCTAAATCAGAGATGCAAATGGAATACACATCATTAAGACATTACCTTGGTAATAAACTGTTGTCTTTTTGCAGATAAAAAAAAAAAGTTAACTAATAAACAGTTGGTTTTTTTTTTTTTTTTTTTTTTAAGTATTTATTCATTTTCGAAATTAATTTCTCTCTATTTATTTGTCTCTTCTGACCTGAAATTGTGAGTTCTCTTTTTCGTCTCTCCCTCTTCTACTCCCCCGACATGAGATCGATTTATTAACTTTTACTATTCCCTCCCCCCCTCCCTCTCTCTCTCTTTCTCTCTGAAACCAACAACCTCCATCTCTAGGGTTTCAACGATTACTTCCGGTGTCCTGAACAGAGACGACCGTGCCCTAATTGGTGGATTTTGCTTCTCGGAGAAGAGAGTTTCTCGGTGTTTTCTGGATCGCGTCAGCTCCAGTTATTTTCAAACAGAAGAATCAGCTTCGTCCCTCACTTCGCAACTTTTGGATCGTATTTTTGGCTGCAAATTCGTCGTTGATTTCATGTTCTTGGTGAGTTTTAGGCTATTTGGCGTCTGCTTGCTTGTTTGTTTACATAGTTGAGGTTTTGCTGTTGCGTTTCGAAGAAGATTAGGTCCTTTCTGTATGACTTTAGTTTTTAGGGTTTTGAGTTTTTCGTCTAGCTAGTTCCATGGCTCCCAGGATATGGAAGAGCGAGAAGGGAGGATGAAGTGAAATTTCGAAATTACATTTTCTTTGGCAGTTGAAATTTGTAATTACTAGTTAATGGAAGCAATATGGAATTAGATATTAATTTCCTAGTGAAAGAGAAAAAGAAGAAAGAACTTCTGGGCAGTCAGTAGATTTCTTTCCCTCTTGAGACATATGTTGATGATTCTTTGGAAAGGGAAGACCGTATAGCTAGTTAGGAGTATTATTTGCCCTTTCGCTCCCTCAGTGTTTTTCTTTTTTTGAAATCTTGAATCCCTTCCTAATTATAATATTATGTTTGCCAATATATATATATATTTGATATTTGTTTCGGTTTATGATCAATATATTTACTTCTTTGGTATAGGTGATAGGTTCATGTTGTTGAATGATTGTTAGCATGGACTTAAATGCTTCTCCATTACCCGAAGAAGATGAAGAGACAATTGAAAGGCATAGAGTAGAATATGTTCCATCTGAAGAACACATAGAATCTGCAGTTGAAATTTCACGTCGGGTACTTCTAAATTTTCTCTTTCAACATCCCTCTGCTCTTTCTAAGTGAAGATAAAGGAGATAATGTATTTATGATTTTCATGTTTACTAGTGATTGGAAGTTGAATCTGTGTTGGTTACTTGTCAATATTTCTTCTGCTTCTCAACTCCTTCAGATAAAGATAAAGAAGTTAATGTGATTGCTTTAGTCCAATAGCTTCATTCGGTCAAAGGCCGTGTGACAATTAAGAAGTGGCTTCCTGCTTAGTTTTCCATTAAACGTGAGAATTGCTGTCTTGTGCCAATGGAATTAGTGCACGGAGTGCTGATAAATATGCATACACACAAACATGTTTCTGTGTCTGTTCTAAATCTAAATGTATATGAGATTTATGTTTTTCCCTTGGAGTGTTGGATGAGGAGTGCTGTGCTCTGTGTTTCTTTTTGTGTATACAAGCATGAGATTCTGTTGTCTTTTATACTTGAAACCTCAGTAATATTCATGTTTTTATATTTCTGCTCAATCACACGTTATAATGGAATCTATACTTTTGTTAGGAGCGTGAAGAAAGACGGAAGAGAATGAAAACAGAGCGATCCGATGACAGGCCATTCCATGTAACTCACCCCCCTGTGCCTGACTTTTATCCAATGAGAAACTACAAGGATAAAAGTAGGCTCCCTCCTGGTAAGGGCCTTTCTGTGTGAACTTGCACCATCAGCATCATGCACACATTTTTAGATCTTCCATGTTATTTTTCTGTTACACGGGTTAGCATTGGTTTCACTTTATGTAGGTGTTTCTGATGTGCCTGAATTTCTTAGACATCTACTTTAGTATTCATTATTAAGAACAGTGCGTTATATATCAATCACTCAAAAGCAATTTACAAGTTCTAAGAAGGAATTGTAGAAGTTGATGATTTGAATCACATTTTTAGGTATGTTAATGCATCTTGATACAAATATGTTATCTTCTGGCCTAAAAGGATATAAATAGTTGAGTGAAATGTATATTTGACTAGAATAATGGGTTATGGAAAAGGCATGGGATACTAAAATATCATATTCTCTTTATAACCTTAAAGGGTATAATTTTCATTTTTCTTATTTAAAATTTCTGTTCTTTATTGTTGCTCTTATCATTCTCCTTTCACAACCTTAATTTGCAGGTTGGCTTGATTGCCCTGCATTTGGTGAAGAAATTGGTGGCATCATTCCTTCTAAGGTTCCACTTGGTGAATCCTTCAATGACTGTATACCTCCTGGTAAAAGATACTCCTTCAAACAAGTAATTCATCGACAAAGAGCTCGGGGGAGACAGGTAAATTCTGTGCAATTCTTTTTAACCCTTATCTTTTCACTATGTAACACATCTATAGATTGTAGATTTTCCATATAAATATGTTAAGTTGATCTTTTTTATTTGAGAAAGAAAGAATATAATCTTCAAAAGCAAATGCCTTTGATCCTTCAAAAGGTCTTAAATGAATGAGCAAATTTGAGAATTTTTTTTGGTTACTTTACTATCAAATCAAAAAATTTATGATTTCCTACAGGCTATTTTCACTTATCGTGCAGAAGCAGGGTTACCTCTCTTTCTTTGATGAAGCAGGGTCTGACAGATTTGTAACTGTTTGGCTGCCCTGATGTCTTGAATATTTACACCCATGCTTGTTACCTCAAAATTTATGCTGACATTTTATTGCACAAAATGAAGTAGGACATTTGGCAATCTTTCGTTTTTAACTTCTTTTGGCCTTTCTGTTTTAGCTTGGCTTAGTGATTGATTTGACAAATACAACTCGTTACTATCCAACATCAGAACTGCAGAGAGAGGGTATTAAGCATGTTAAGGTGAGTACTGGAGAGTATGTTCTTCTCTTATTATTGCAGCTGTAGAAATTTATTTTAAAGGTTTTTGATTTGTGGTCTAGATCCAATGCAAGGGACGTGATGCTGTACCTGATAATGTGTCTGTAAATAATTTCGTCTATGAGGTACTTTTCTTTTACCATGGTTACCTACATCCTCATTTTCTTGTAACCAATCTGCCTTTTTTTCAACTTCCTGGAATATACCTTTTTCCCTTTAATTTAATGTGTCAGATAAATATTTGTTTGGTTCTATGTGTAATCACATGGCCCATATTAGTGGATGATCAATCCACATTGGTCCCTATGGATTGTGTTTGGTAGTTATAATTTCTTGGTAATCGTGTTAAAGCCAAAATGATTCTGTATGCGTCTTATATTAACCTCAAGAATCAATGAATTCTGTGATTAGCATTGTATCCCCACCTTTCATTTAAATCATGTAATGCCATTGCTTATCCATCCACATGGGTCCTTATGCCCATATTTCTGCTGTGGATAATTCCCTTTTTGTTGATGTTATGTTATCAGGTGTCACTGTTTTTCTCTCGTAATCAGAAACCCCCAAAGAAGCATATTCTTGTGCACTGCACACATGGGCATAATCGTACAGGATATATGATTATTCACTTTCTCATGCGTACACAAACAATGTCTGTCACCCAGGTTAGTTTTGGATTTATTGGTTTCCATGTTGTCTTGGTTATTCAGGGTGGTGAATCCTTAAGTTATTTCCTTTGCCTTTTGCACAGGCGATAAAAATTTTTTCTGAAGCACGGCCTCCTGGGATATACAAACCAGACTATATTGATGCTTTATATGCATTTTATCATGAAAGAAAACCTGAAATGGTTGTCTGTCCCTCAACTCCAGAGTGGAAGAGATCTTCTGATCTTGATCTGAACGGTGAAGCAGTCCCTGATGACGAAGATGGAGGGCCAGCTGCTCCTGTAATTGTATGCACGACCTCAGAAGTATCATTTAGTTTCATTTTCTTTCATATGCAGTTTTTACTCTAATGTCAAATATTGACCCATAAAAGTGAATTGTTAGCAGCTTTGTAGTTTCCTATTTTGTTTAAGATTAGATATTTCTCCTTCAGTGTGCAAGTAGAGTCATATTAGGGTTCATAATGTATGTAAGTGCCATAACCCATTAGGTTATGATGAATTCAATATTGATTTTCCCTCTACTGCCCTTATTGCTTTCTCTTCCCAACTCTTCTAGTTCCCATCCCCTCTTTCATTCTCCTTCGAATCTCTTCTCCTCATTCGAATTCCTTTCCCATATCCTTCTTTTATTTTCCTACATCTGAAGGATTCCATGTGACTAGAGTGTTTGAAATTTAAATAGATCTGGTTTTGTTCATAAATGTTGTGGATTGTTATGAAGGTTTGCTTGCTTATGTTTTTAATGTTGTGGTTATGAGATGATGGTTTTCCTTAAGTTTTTGAAAAAAATAGTATTATGTTCGAGTTTCAGCTACAGTAAGCTTCTTATATTTCAGGAGAATAATGAAGTGGATGCAGAAATGACAAATGATGACGTCTTAGGAGATGAAATACCATTTGAGCAGCTGAATTCGTTTCGGTCATTCTGCTACCAAATGTTGAACTTGAGACTAAATGTGCACCCGGTACACTTCGTAGGCCTCTTATTTACTTTGATATATTTCCACTTATTTACATTTGTGACAGGTAAAGCCACTTGAGAGTTCTTGTTGGCATTTTTTTGTTGGCTTGCTGTGTGGTTTCCATCCACTCGTGACAGACTATGATGATAGTTTTAGGTCAGAGATCTGGGTGATGAGCTGGTGAACTTTGGAAATGTTAAAATGATGATGTTGTGATTGGCATCCTAAATTTTGCTATAGAATTTTGATTTATGGCATTTTTGAGTTTCTTTTTAATGGAATTATTTTCTTTCAATCTTACTCTAGTGTTCTTATGAAATTTTAGAGTTTTCTCTGTAATTTCAAGCTTACTAAATTGTTCTGTTGATTCATTTGATGTTTGGTAGTTAAATAAAGATGCCAAAGAAAGGTTGAATATTAATAAACAAAAGGTTTTTAAAATTTTTAAATGGTATTTGATGCTTAAATTTCTATTGACTTACGTTGGCAGCCAAAGTTGTTCACATTAAAACTTAGTACTACTTAAAACTTATAACCTTCTGTTATTTTTGTACCCATTTAATCTAACTTTTATCTAATTCACTGCTATTGTTTGTTTAACATATTTCTGCTTTGGCTATCTTCTTGTAATTCAGGGCAGATCAAATCCACAATTTCCTGGATCACACCCAGTTTCTCTCAACAGGTTCCATCTAATTACTGTTTTCTTTTTCCCCCCTGTTTTATTAATTTGTGGCAAAAATGCAATTTCTGTTTGTTACTTTTGCATAGTCTGTATTTTGAATGATTTGATCAGTTGAGATCTGTCCCATGAGCTTTTCTTTTCCTATTCATATATTACAATTGAGCTTCCATTTATGGTTTGCAGGGATAATTTACAACTTTTAAGACAGCGCTATTACTATGCCACTTGGAAAGCTGATGGAACACGGTATATGATGTTAATAACTGTCGATGGATGTTATTTAATTGATAGGAGCTTTAATTTCAGAAGGGTTCAGATGAGGTTCCCTTGCAAACACCCAAATGAAGTATGTATTTGCATATCTCTTTTGAGAAAAACTATTAACATTCAGCCCCTCATTGGACTTAAATAGATTGGTTTTATTAACTTAACATAATTTTTTTGCTTGTAAGGGTTTAGGGGAGAGAACACATCACTATACGTTGCTTGATGGAGAGATGATAATTGATAAGATGCCAGACACAGGAAAGAGGGAGAGAAGATACCTAATCTATGATCTGATGGCTGTTAACGGCAAGCCTGTGATAGAGGTTTGTTCTTCTTATATTCTAAATCAATTGTTTTATCGTCAACATAGTGCATGATTACTAGAATTACACTGATCTTTGCTGCTTATTTGGGTTTGATTAAATTCTTCAAACCACTTTTTGCCATAACATGTAATAGAGTAATAGTCAGCTAAAATTTCTACAGAAAATCCTCATTATCCTTTTTAGAAAGTCCATTTTAATATGAAAAATGAAGCATCATATTGCCCTTTTGGATTCAAGGTATTTTAGTCCTGTGAATTGTCAAATTAAGTGGATTTTAAAAGTGTATCTGCTAACATCATTCCTTTCCTTCTATTTTTTTTTACAAAAAAGTAAATGCATATACATCTTTTAATTCTTTGGGTCAATCTGTGTGCAGCGGCCTTTCTATGAAAGGTGGAAAATGCTTGAGGAAGAAGTCATTGGGCCTCGGAATTATGAGCGGCAGAATATTTATCAGAGCAGGAATCCTTATTACAGATATGACCTGGAACCATTTAGGGTGTGTATGAAGGATCAGAGATGTTATATAACTGTTTGTATTCCTTGTCTTTGTGGGAATGGTTGATAATTTGCTTAGATGTTTAACAGGTTCGTAGAAAGGATTTTTGGTTGCTCTCAACTGTTACAAAGCTTTTGAAGGAATTTATTCCAAAGCTCTCTCATGAAGCTGATGGTCTTATCTTTCAGGTGATTGAATATGGTGATTGGATTATGAAATTTGACCCTTCTTAATCAGTCTAATCAGGCCTTTGAGTGAACTGCTTCTTTTATCCTGCTGTTGTTTCAACGATCTTTTATTATTCATTTAGTCATTACAACATTAATCCTCTGTTTGAATTTTTGTTAGTGTTCTCATTCTTTCCATGCTGCTGATGCTTTCATGTTTAGCTTCATGATTATGTTATTTCCTGCATACACTATGTTGGGAAAGATTATTTTGCTTAGGCAAGTTAAGCTAAGTGGTTGCTGATGACCATACATTCCAGGGCTGGGATGATCCTTACATTCCTCGTACGCATGAAGGTCTTTTGAAGTGGAAATATCCTGATATGAACTCCGTTGACTTTCTCTTTGAGGTTGAACCACGCTATTTTTCTTCGTATTAGTTAGGGAATTGGGATTGCTTTGGCTCCCCCAATGGCTCCAATTTTTCTGTACACTTTTGACTCTTTAACAATGATACTGTGTTCTCTGCAGGTTGATGCTGATAATCATCAGCGACTTTTTCTTTTTGAACGGGGGAAGAAGAAGCTGATGGAAAATGCAGCAGGAGTCACATTTAAAGGTGCTGTGAATTTTAAATCTTCTGTTATATTCTATCCATCTGGTAAATTTGACAAATTTGTTTTCTTATCACTTAAAACTCCTCAACTTTGTAAGCACCTCTTCATTTCAAATTTGGTAGAATGTGGCTTACTCAGAGTCATTGCCATAAAAACAGAAAAATATATCATGCTCTTTAGGTTAGCGTGGAAAAATGTTCTGCAGAAGCATGACATGTGAGAATTCCAATTTCTGTCAAATGTGATAAATGCAGCCAGAAGGGAAATAATGTTATGAGTTCCCAGTTTTGCAGTCCAGACTGCAAGCCAGGAACCCTTGGATGGGGGGAATAGTCTCTAATATTAGAGGGCCCACCCTGCAGACAATGGTTTAAGTAGTGCAATCCAGACTGCACAACACATTTTTGTAATGTTATTATCTGAGGTTATATAAGATGTTATTTTAAGTGGGACTCTGTAATAAGTCTGTATTACTAGAGACATTTCAACTACATAAGAAGACTTTCAACTCGGTTAAGCTGAGCCAAATTTCTGGCCTGCATGTCATCGCCTTGATCCAGACTCTAGAGACTTTATTTTCTCTCAAACTTGTTTAGAAACTTCAACAAGTATATCAAATTAATCTATCTGTCAAAGTTCCATTAGTTTTCTTAACACCACTTGACAGCCCATAATCAACCTCAAGTCTCTTAATCCTGTAACCTTCTTCCCATCTTGGACAATTAATACTGTCTCCTTCAATTTTTTGATCATTGCTTCTATTCATTGAAACATAATTCTCTTGGGCCACTTGGCATCTATGTGGAGCCACATGGGTGCTGAATGTAGAACTTTTGAAATTTTGATGGATAGACCATTTTGATACCGCTTTTTGAAGTTTCAAGATCATTTTGGGAGAAAATAAACTTTCTAGACTAAATTGTAACAAGTCTAGTTAATTGACCAAACATTAAATAAATTTAGCTGTTAAGATATTTTAGTTGGATTCTAGTGTTCTACAGCATTAGATCTCCACCATGATAATTTGATATTCGAGTATTTAGAAGCTGAGAGGTGAAGTTTGGATAAACTAGTAAGAAATGAAATCGTAATAAATCTGTTATTGACCCAGTACCGCATGTGAATTGGTGCATTCATTTGCTTATTGTCATTGTTTTACCCATTTATGGTAATTTGGCAGCAAGATAGCAGTTTAACTGGGGACAACAAATGTTTCAATTACATTTAAGTTAATCTTTTTCCATTTAATTTGGATAGTTTTGTGTGAACGTTCTACCCTCTGTGTGTGTGTCTGTGTGTTTGGCGCTTTGGCCTACTTTAAAAATAATGTGTCAATTTTCTCTTTTCTGGTTAGTTTGAGTCTTTGTTATGAGTTTTAATTCTCAAAAGCTGATTGCAGATGATTTGGATCCTTCTTCATATTCTGGTAAGATTATTGAGTGTTCTTGGGTCGAGAAGGAGCAGGTGTGGTTGTGTATGCGTGCCAGAACAGATAAATCAACTCCCAATGATGTCAATACTTACAAGAAGGTCCATCTCACTGCAAGTTTATATTGTTTCTTTTCTCCTAAGCCAACCAGACTAAACAATGCCGTTTGCTGGTGTGCAGGTGATGCGAAGCATAAAGGACAATATCACTGAAGAGGTCTTGTTGAATGAGATTTATGAAATTATCCGCCTGCCCATGTATGCTGATAGGATACAGAACGACAGCAGAGCACGACGCAGGTGATTGGCTGGCTTGTTGAGTGGCTTACTATCAACATATGTTCACAAGCCTCAGTTGGAGGTTTCTGTTATCCAGAATATGCTTTGCTATACGGGTTGGCTGGAGTAAGCCGTGTGCTGGGGCATACAATGTAAAGGGTCACCGAGATGCTTTGTAATTAGCTATTCCCTTCTAGTCTTGTAAGCATGTGCCATGCTGGTGACTTGTATGATACAGTTAGTACACTGGAATAGTTCTCAAAGAAGAAAAAAAAAATTAGGTCAGATTATTTTTCTTATAGTTGTTCAGTTCAAGAGGATTAGAATTAGGATAATCATGTATATTAGTATTATTTCCCTTCCTTTCATGTAGTGATTTCTAAGTTCTTGAAGGTAGCCATTTTTCAGAATGAAAACTGATCTGTTTCATTTTGGGATTTTTGCATTGGCTCTCCTTGTGAATATTATAAAGTTGGGGAAATAACCGTGTATTGCTAGTTCTTTTCTTCACTCAATTCCCAAGTCAGACTGTTGCCTCTTTACTCTGACATTGTTTCTAAAGCTATCGCGTTAAGTTCCATTTGTTTGTCCTCACGGCACATTTTAATTTTCTTATTTACAGAGTTTTGATTCATATATCTACATTAAAAAAAAAAAAGAAAAAAAGAAAAGGTAAAAAGTGGTGGAAAATTTAAAGTGAATTTGATTATCATTAGATGGGGCGATCTTGTTGTCCATTGTAAACTGTAGTAGGCTAAGACAAAAAACTCAATCAATGATATCTTCTAAGGTTAATGACAGTTATTACATTTAATTGGTAAAAAAATTTATTTATTTATTTATTTATTTTTCTTAAATCAAACAAATCTTAAATTTTAAATAAGTAATGACAGTTTTATGGTGGAAAAAAAATCGTAAGGATGTGCAGGTGGTGGCACAACACATTTTTTATAAAATAACCCAAATAGGGGTTTTACATTACCATTTTTTTTCTTTTTTGTTTTTTTGCATATTGGAATATAATAGAAAAATATAAACCATTAAATATAGTCCAACGTACACTAACATTTATATATATATGAGAAAAATATTTAGCAGTTTAGCTAATAGAAAAATATGTAAAAAAAATTTTAAAATTAAATTATTTTTAAAATTTTCTATTAAAAAATAAAATAATTTACATTTTAAAATAAAAATAATATTAATTCACAATATTTTATTAAAATAATATAATTTTAAAGTATTTTTTCACCCAAAAATTTCCCGACTAATAAACAATAATTTCATGTGTGTACCTATATATTTTCACTTTGATTCCCCACAGAACAGCACATCCCGTGTGCTTCTAAATTCTTCTGAGATAGATAAAACCTTAGAAACTAAGTTGGGTTTTATCTATTTGATCGTATCACATCTCTGATCGGCTCTCTAAGATTTCTTTTCGTTTTTATGAAAGATTTCAGTAGAACGGAAGGTTGGATATGAAATCCTCGGAGATTACCGTTTTCTGGATTTGTTTGCTTCTCCTTACTTGCTCTAATTTCACTCACGCCGACGATTCCAAACCTAATAAGTTCCGGGAGCGCCGGCCGACGGACGACGAGCTCGGTTATCCGGCAATGTAACTCCTTTCTGCCTGTGATCTCGATTTCGCGTCATTATTTCGTTCTTGATTCTTATTTTATTAAATCGATCTTTTGATCTTGGCTCGATTTGTGGATGAATAGAGATGAGGACGCATTGTTGAATACACAGTGCCCTAAAAATTTGGAGCTCAGATGGCAAACTGAAGTTAGCTCCAGCATATATGCAACTCCATTGATAGCCGACATTAATAGGTAGGCATAGGTTTACTACTCTGGTCTTAGCGTCAGATGTGATTCCTATATGTCAGTTAACTGTGTTCTGAATTTTGTGTTTTTACTTGTTGGAGTTTATTCTTTGCTTTGCTAAGGTGCGAAATTTTTTATTTGTTTCTTAGTGATGGAAAGCTTGATGTGGTGATTCCTTCATTTGTTCACTACCTTGAAGTTCTAGAGGGTTCTGATGGAGACAAAATGCCAGGTATTATTTTTTCAAAAATTTGATGAACATTGCTTCAATTGTCTGGAAGCATTTGCTGCAAATAAATAGAATGCATTTGATTTGTCAAGCTTTTTAGGGTTAAGTTGCATTCTGTTTGAATTTTTTTTTATTAGGTTGGCCTGCTTTTCACCAATCAACCGTGCATTCTAGTCCTCTCCTTTATGATATTGATAAAGATGGCACGAGAGAAATTGCTTTAGCTACTTACAATGGTGAAGTGCTCTTTTTCAGGTGATATACTTGCATTTAGTGTGAATTCTTTTCAGTGGTTACATGTTCTTGATATGGATATATTTCCTTGCTAACATGACTCAAATTGTTTACCTTCAGGGTGTCAGGGTACATGATGACTGAGAGATTGGTAGTGCCGCGTAGGAAAGTGCGTAAAGATTGGTATGTAGACTTGCATTCTGATCCAGTGGACCGTTCTCATCCAGACGTTCATGATGATTTACTAGTCCAGGAATCTGCTGAAATGACTTCAATGACCCGTAAGAAAGTTCTGAGTTGCAAACAGCTTGTACATATTTTCTCAATCTTCCTGTTTTCTTCACCTTAAATTCCAGGTTAAAGTAGTTGCCGGAAAAGCTAACATGACTCTGAGTTTTCTATCTTTTTTGGTGCTTTTAATGTCCTTGTTATCTTAGTCATGTCTTTTTTACGTCCACTGTTTCTTTGATGGATCGTACAGGTCATGTTTGGGGAAACATATCACTTGTTACACTGTATTAAGTTGCATGTTTTGTTCCTTTCCCTGGTCTGCATTTTTGGCATTGTTCAAATTATATATAGTATATATTTTTTGAGTTTTTTGAGAGTTTTAAAGAACCTAACTACCTAGGTGCTGGGTTTTATGTGTTAGTTCATTATCTCTTCTTGTGAACTAACAAACAAAAGGAAAATGAACACACAAGTAAATGCTGTTTTCATGCAGAAACAAATAGAAGTACACCTGCATCTAACAATACTGTGACTACATCAACAGAAAGGTACCTAGATTTGGTAAATGCATCCAGTGTAGACACTGAAAGGAAAATGAATGAAAGTCAAACAGAGGAAAATGTCAAGCTGTCTCAAGTTGCTGATAATTCTTCCATAAATACTGGGTCAGTGGGAATGAATAATTCAGAGAATAAAACAAGTGCTAGGAGACGGCTTCTGGAAGATAATGACTCAAAAGGGTCACAAGAAGGTGGTTCTGAGTCCAAAAATAACAATAATGAGATTTTTCAGACTGTGGAAAATGATGAAGGCTTAGAAGCAGATGCAGATGCATCTTTTGAGTTATTCCGTGGTACTGATGAGTTGGCTGATGAATATAGTTATGACTATGATGATTATGTTGATGAATCCATGTGGGAAGATGAGCAGTGGACTGAAGGGGAACACAAGAAGCTGGAGGATTTTGTGGATATTGATTCACACATCTTAAGCACTCCTGTGAGTACAAATTTTAACTTTGTTAGTATTTTCTTTTCTCCTTGGTAAAGAAACTGCCTGGACAGGCAAGTTTACGCCAGGAAAGTCATAAAAATTGGTTCTCAAATTTTCTCAGGTCATAGCTGACATTGACAATGATGGGGTATCAGAAATGATTGTTGCTGTTTCCTACTTCTTTGATCATGAGTAAGTTACCCTTAGTTTTCATCTGATTTGGTTGACTGGGATATCTCCTAAGTTCTACATCAGAACTTATTTAAATGAGATAGATATTCATAAGAAGAAAAGCCTTCTATGCTCCTTTTTCCCTTGTAACTTTTTTTTTTTTTTTTGAAGAAAAAAATTATAAAGTTTAGGCAAACCACTTTTGTATACCATGTTCTAAGATATTGTCAAATCAAGTAACAATTGTTGTTTACCAAACAAAAGAGCTGAAAAAGGGGGCCTTATATCATAGGTATTATGACAACCCAGAGCACATAAAGGAGCTTGGTGGTATTGATATTGGAAAATATGTTGCTGGAGGTATTGTTGTATTCAATCTTGATACGAAGCAGGTTAAGTGGATTACAGAGCTAGATGTGAGTACAGAGACTGCAAACTTTCGTGCATATATATATTCTTCTCCAACTGTTGTTGATTTAGATGGTGATGGGAACTTGGACATTCTTGTTGGAACATCATATGGCTTGTTCTATGTCTTGGATCATCATGGTAGTTCCCTAATACTGGCTATATTTCTCGTTATTAGTTATCATTATTTCTTTCCATGCAGTCGTGCTTCAGGATTATACCATGGCTAAAGTTATTGCATTTATGCTAGCTCTGCCCTTGGTAATTAATTTGTGTGAAATCATAACATCATCTAGCTGGTTAAGGTTTGCTTTGAGTTTCAAAATGGTAGTAATACTTGCCAATTCTTTAGTTTTTCTTTTTCTTTTATCCTCAGTAGCAATTCTTCAGTTAGCGTTCCTATCTAATAGTAAACAGTAAACTAGACAATTTTTAGAGCTTGAATGTTGTTATTGTTGTTATTTATTTATTTATTTATTTGTTATTATTATTATTATTATTATTATTATTATTTTATAATCAGAAAAGAAAGCCTGGATGGATTGATTACTAAAACATGGCTTGTAAACAAGTTGATATGTGCTAGTCTGTCTATAAAATATCTAAATTTTAAGTTACTGGCGATATTTTTCTTTTTTTAGATGACATGAAAACAATGGGTAATGTATGTACATCATGTAAATTTTATGTTTCTAACAATTTCAATTTGAAGCTCTGTTCTGCATAAACATCTTTGGTCATTGTTTGGCTATTAGAATTGGTATTCAATTATGAGCAGCTTCTTTTGTAATAATTTGGCTGGTAATCGTGTAATTATTCAGGAAAAGTCAGAGAAAAGTTTCCCCTTGAAATGGCCGAAATTCAAAGTTCTGTGGTTGCAGCTGATATTAATGATGATGGCAAGATTGAACTAGTGACAACAGATACACATGGAAATGTTGCTGCTTGGACTGCACAAGGAGTTGAGATTTGGGAAGCACATCTGAAGAGTCTAGTCCCACAGGTGAGTTGTAGTGTCTGTTTTCATAATATTAACAAGTACATGAGTATATGATAACTTTAAGGTAACCATTAGGGCACAAATAATTTAGCGGTATTAGATTCTTGTGTTGTGTGTGTTCCATTAACTTGAGTGTGAAGAAGTTTGTGAGTTATTAATCTAAACTTTTTAAATGTATAATTGCAATTTAACTCCCTACTTGAAGATATAAGGAAAAGCAAAATAATGCTAATTTTACCTGTGTGAATAATGCAGTTATTCAGCATACAGAAATGCATGATAGTCTGTTATTGATTATATGAGACACAGTGATCCAAATCTAACAAAGCCATCATCATGCGTTGAGTGTTGTAGTCATTTACTTGAAGACTTGTGCATCCATCATTTTTCTTCTTTTTATACTAGTGCATCAACATCAAGGGATAATATTGGTTGTGCTGTGCCTGCATGCTCGTCAGCCATTAGTCCAGATGCTTTTGATCCTGCCCATAGACTTATATGATTAGGCTGCATTGGACTTCCTAGAAATTTGGCAAAGCCAATATGCATTTTTTAACTTAACACTTCTCTAAGTTGATAGAAGTTATCTGATTGACATTTTCTTACCCCTCAGGGTCCTGCTGTAGGTGATGTCGATGGAGATGGCCATACTGATCTTGTGATTCCCACTTTATCTGGAAATATTTATGTTCTTAGTGGAAAGGATGGCTCAATAGTTCGTCCTTATCCATATCGAACTCATGGGAGAATAATGAATCAAGTTCTTCTGGTTGATTTAAACAAACGTGGGGAGAAAAGGAAGGGACTGACGATTGTTACTACTTCATTTGATGGATATTTGTACCTGATAGATGGACCCACATCATGTGCCGATGTTGTTGACATTGGTGAAACTTCGTAAGTTTCTTGCTGTGTGGTCCTATAGTTCCTTAAAACTCCTATATGTTTCTTCATTGAATCTAATTTGTGTGTACTTCCTCATTGCAGATACAGTATGGTGTTGGCAGACAATGTTGATGGTGGAGACGATCTTGATCTCATCGTTACAACTATGAATGGAAATGTCTTCTGCTTCTCAACTCCTGCTCCACACCATCCCCTCAAGGTAGGATGAATATGAACCTGATCCTGGAGTGATCTTTTGTTTCCTCCTGAACCTTTAGGTACCAATAGTACATAATTCATTTTCAGGCATGGAGATCAACAAATCAAGGAAGAAACAATGCCGCATACAGGTATGACCGTGAGGGCATTTATGTTACACATTCATCAAGAGCTTTCCGTGACGAGGAAGGCAAAAACTTCTGGGTGGAGATCGAGATTGTAGATAAACATCGATACCCATCAGGGACTCAAGCACCTTACAACGTTACTGTAAGCTTTATATAGTTCTTATTCTCAAATTACAATTTCAAACTGCTATTTAAACATCCACTCTCCCTGAATCTGACATTGCGCTGAAACAATGCAGACAACCTTGTTAGTCCCAGGTAACTACCAAGGAGAAAGAAGGATAATGCAAAACCAGATTTTTAACAGGCCTGAAAGATATCGCATAAAACTTCCAACAGTAGGGGTAAGGACTACAGGGACTGTTGTGGTGGAGATGGTTGACAGGAATGGCATCTATTCCTCAGATGACTTCCCCCTCACATTCCACATGTATTATTACAAACTTCTCAAGTGGCTTCTTGTCCTTCCAATGCTGGGGATGTTTGGTGTGCTTGTCATCCTGCGTCCACAGGAGGCCATGCCCTTGCCATCATTCTCACGAAACACTGACTTGTAACTCCGGCTGTCTATTAGACCTCGAACACATGCGACGGTTATCTAAACATGCCAAGAACCAAAAGGTTAGTGACATTGGTGCTAGGTTATTTAAAAATGAATTTTTGAGTTTTGGGACAATAGGAATTGAGGAAGTTGTAACATAGTTGAATTTGAGTTTATTGTTAGCTGCACAGTAGGACTGAGAAAATTGATGTTTGCCAACACTCATCACTGTATACATTAACGTGCCACCAACCCAAAGTCAATATTGGGGAGATGTTTTCTGATTATCATCCACAACCAATGTTAATTAAGCAACAGTGAATTCTCACCTAATGGGGACAAAAATCCAACAATGGAATCAATTCAATCAAGCAAGTTTCCAAGTTGAATTCGACTGTAAAGACCAAGCAAATTTATGTTCAAACTTAGAATTTCAACAATATTTACTCTGCGAACAAATCCTATATTCAAACATGATTAAAAGCATTATATGAAACCTTACACTAGCATAAAAAAATTCAAAACCCTTGTAGAATAGGCCTCTTTCCAAGCCTCTTGATCTCCCTATCCATTTTACCAGTAAGCATCAATCCGAACATCTTGTAATCACATAAAAAGGACCAAAATGGATGCACAAACATGGCCGGAACATTCCCTTCGATAAAGAAATGGCTGTACCAAGCAAGACCGTGACTAAACACCGGCACAAACAGCACAAACCACCAATTAAACAACACAGAGTAAATCATTAATAGAATACTTGTGAGTGTGCCCGCGAAATGCCAGCGCCTTGTGGATGGTTTCGAGTGCTGAGTCATGTAGAATGCCCAGAATTCATCCAAGCTCCTGAAATTCATATCTTCAAGAAGAATTAATGAAAACCCACTTGAGAAATCAGATCAGAATCTTGATTCTTCTGTGATTTTCAAAACCTATACGGATTAAGATGAAAATCCCATCTGGGTACGGTTTGACTTGGGATCAGATTATGGGTATCGCAGGAAATCGCTTGAAAAAGGAACAAATCGAGGAGTTTTTTAGAAAGGAGAAGTGATTTTGCTGGGATTTGGAAGCAAGAAAATTTTAAGGTTGGTGTTGAAATCAAAGGGATGTACAGTGTCTGTCTGTTTAGCTGAGGAATCAAAGTAGGTTTGGACTTCGGAGGCTGCATCATTGGATGGTATTTAAGAGAAAAATTAACTTTCATTAAATAAACTTGTTGACGTGCAACTGCAAAGGATTTATCCATCAGACAGCTGACCATGTTTGATTGGTTCAGACTGAACATTACCTCGAAGCTCAAGCAAGCAATATGCCTTTCTCTCTCTCTCTCTCTCTCTTTTAAGCCCTATATTGTATAAGTTAACCTACTGAATGTTGGTGAATCTTGATATTAGAAGCTCCAATCTCATTTTAAGTGTTTATATTTTATGATTTATTATAATCTATAAAATAAAATAGATAGATCTTTTTATAATATGAATATTTAGGTTTTAAGTTACATTACTCTTTAAAATATATACACCCATTTCATTTATTATATAAAGTTAAAATCTATTTATAAATAAGTTTTATATATCATATTTATACAAAATTTTAATAATTTATTTTTTTATTTTTAATGATTAATATTTATTCACTTTTTAATATATTTATTAAAGATTATTATCTTTTTTTTTCATTTAGTAAGTCATAATACATTTCAATTATAGAAAATAAAGAAATAAATTATTAATATTTTATGTAAATATAATGGGTAAAATTTAAAATAAATAAATTCATACTCTCCTCTATATTAAGCAAACCTTACTTTTTAAGGATGGCGGCCATAATTCAATGGAATTATTTACACGGCAAGAAAATAAATCGAACGTGTTCTTAAGCATAATTCACAATTTCACATCCATTCTCATTGCTGAGGCTAACCTCAATGGTTAATATGCCATTCTTTTTTATTTTTCCTTCTAAAATTCCTAGTGTTATTTGATAATTGATTGTGACACAATAGAAATAAAATCATCCTATTTTTCAGATCCAATTGAAAAAGCTAGTTGTGTGACTTGTGTCGTTGTGAACTTTCCTACAATCATTTTTTAATTAGCACAACGTAAAATGCCAATAATTTTAATTACTAAACCTATA